ACAGCCTGAAATGTATAGTCTTCATTTAACATGCACACATTACTTTGCTGTTCATCAATATTTTGAGGAAACTACTCAGAGAGAGGGAATCTTTATTGCTGGAGTTTCTCCATCATTCAAAATTGCATTGTGGTTGTGCATCTATGTGTGAAATAATGGTTGGTGCTCCCAGCCACAAATGTTTTTGTCACATTAGGAACAAAAAAAAATTGAGGGACCAAAATTTGCAGCAAAGTTGACAATTTGGTGACCCATATTTGATAGCCTGATGAAGGTGTAACATTTTTATAACAAATGCATCAAGTCAATTGGACATTTCCACAAAATATTGGGTAGTGAACCACATGTCCATTTTTTTTGCTTTTGTTTTTCTTCCTTTTGTTTCCTAGCAACCTAAACTAAATTTATTTCAACTGGCAACCACTTTATGCTCTTAGGTTGCCATACAGTGAATCTTTAAAACATTAAGTTACTGCTACACCATCAAGGAACTCCACACTTGATCAAAAACTATCACTTTGCATTTTTTTCTCCAGAAATAATATACAATGATTACTGGTTTAACACAAGTTGCATTTAATAGCAGCTTTGAATCCTTTTATTAGGTCTCTTGTTGAAGCAAAACAGTACAGAACCATCAGGGGTGGGTCTAAGGATTTGATAACAGTCAATAAAACTTGAATATAGGATGACTGGAATCGTATCACCCTTCAGTGGCCATATACCTACCTCTAAGGTGTCATTGTCAAAACAATCAAAGGGCGAGTCCTCAGCATCAGGGTCAATAAGTAATGCATCAAATTCTTTGCCAACCTTGTTTGAAAAAGTTTCAAAACAAAAGCATGTAATATCAATATATATTAATGAATAAATTTGTGTTCAACCAGGTAATATGTTACAATTGTTGTCCTTATTACCCTTTCTTTAATCTATAGATGATAATAAAGAAGGCAAGTAGCATTTGATAATTTAATTCATTACAATGTCAAAAAAAAAAAAAAAAAGAATCCTGTGTTGAGATGTAGGTCCACTCCAAGAAATGCCCCAATATGATCAAAATTGTTCTGCACTCTAGCACTGCTCTAAGCTAAGCTAGATCCTCTGTGAATTTAAAGCTGCTAGAGAAAATACTACATTCATCCTTACCTCAAAGTTGCCAATTTTGTCACTTAATCCTAAAACTGAAATGTCAGTAGATAATAATTAGCAATCAGATCCCAATTCATAATGTTTAGTTTAAACAACCAATTGAACTAAATAATGGGTGTTTAGAATGTAAGTTGAAAAAAATCCATGGTCATCAACCTTATGCTAAAGGTTTTGGGATTATTCTTACCCTCACTGCCCCCTAAAGTGGCCAATCTAAAAGCATCCTTGTAAGACAGAGATCTGTAAGATTCAGGCTTGCTGAAGGCAACAACATTGGAGGCAGTTATACACTGACGAATGACATCAAGCATTGATGGAGAGTGGCCTCCTGAGACATCTGTAAGCTCCATTGAGAAACAAAGAGGGGGAAAAGTTAACCCTCTTCATACTAAATATCAAGGCTTTAAATAAAAGCCTCCCAAAATATTGCACATCTGATTCAGTTTCCAGTTGACTCATTGCAATATATCCACTTAGGAGGACTGAAGCTTATAGTACATTCTAAGCATGTTGATTTCAGTTCACTGTTTGCAAAATTAAAAAAACAACTGCAACAACAAATCATCTAGTATTGATTCTACCACTGAAACTTATTTCCATTAAATTTTGATTAGGACAGTGACTTAAGATCCAGTAGTTTCAATGATAAAGATTATATGTGGAGACACCAATGATCTTGTGCAACTCTTAATTAATGATAAACTTAAAGTTAAAATGAAGTGTTATGGTGTACACACTAAGTTAATATACATCATTGTCTCAGAAAGCATGTAATTTACCTGTTCCAAGACCAACTTTTAACTGCCTATCCAGCAGATGTCTGATATCAGCAACACCACTTTTCAAACTTGAGTTAGGAGAAAAAATAAAATTTTCAGTCCAGTGTAGTGGAAATTAAAGCCAAAAAATAACGTTAATTACAATTTTATCACTGTTTTTTACCATAAGGCCTCAAAGACTCAGCCAAAAACTTTCTCAGTTATTATAATTCCTGAGGGAAATATTATGTAAAAACAATTTAATTACTCTCCTATATATGAAAACCCAAGTTCCAAGAAAGATGTTATCTCAATAGTTGCAAAATGTCTTTTATATCTATGCTATATGTATAAGATCTTCCATGATCAAAAACTTCTAATATTTAAGTTTACTTTTTGACATGGTAATCTGAAACAGGTAATGGTCAGAGTGGTGCTACTTAGAGATTTGCTTATCAGATTTCTCATCCAACAAATATTTCAATTTGCTCTATAGGAGCAGTCTGAAGAGTGATAATTTTATGAAACATAAAAATAAGAGGCCCATACTTACTCAAAATTTGAAATAGGGCAATGTGCAACCCCAGTGCTACGTAATAACATCAGGTCAATCTCTTCCTCAGTAACATAAATACAGTGTGCATAATAGGCCTATGGTTAAAGAAAACAGAAAATTCATTTGGTCATACTATAAAAACTGTACCTATAACAACCTATTGTCAACTCAAGTATAAGTTCTGCTGTAAATTTGTTTTTTTTGTCTCTTGTGGCTTTGAAATGGACATCATACAGTATATCCCCAATCCTTTGTTCATATTTCACATTTGCATTTTTATTTTGCATCTACCAATTTCAAAAATCAAAAACTGATAATTAAACAATTCAGATTCAATCCTCACGTTGATCTTGCTTTCATGGCTAGAAGCACTTCACAATGAAACTTTTTCAAGGCATAGCTTCCTTAAAATAAGTGGATTTACCTTGTCTGTTAGGAGCTCACATTCCTCAAGTATTTTTGCCAAATCAGAAGTCTGAGAAAACTCGGAAGCAAAGTTCCAACTAGCCAGTTCATCTTTGATTTCACGCAAATGTCCCTGGAATTTTTGTAAATAGCAAGTAAGAGATTTATTAATCAGTCAAACCTACATGAAAAAATATGTTTACCCTTGAAAATGTATTATAGCAGTGAGGCTGGTGGGATTTAACAATTAACGGCCCAAAAAGTATGAATCAAATAAAACAAAGCAAGATTTAAAATTCAAACTGGCAAGAGGCAAACCAATTTGCTATTTACAATCACTGCTTACTATTCACCAAGTATGGTAAATGGTTTGAACCCCAGGGTAACATGTGAAAATTTAGTCTGATTGTCTGGAAGAGTGCAGACCTGAGAAGGACTGTTGTTGGTAGTGGTGACTGATGTTTTGACAACCTGAGCAGAAAACATCACCAGAGTCAAGTGATTGGTTGTAGATAGTCAAATGTTCTAAATCCCATTTGCATAACCTGATTGATCAGTTTTGCTGTGATGCTATTGCTTGTAAGACTTAAGTGGCATAAGTAAGTTGTGATTGGTCTGATTCAGTCCATTGGTTAAGTTAGGTAGTTCTGTTTTATTGGTTTGTAATTGTTAATGTCGTGTATAAGTTGTTTGTATGGTGCCAGTAGTAGTTGTGTTGTGCTGCATATGAGGCATTGCACAAGTCATCAACCCTGCTTCCATACATACACCTTCCATACTCAAATAAATATTAGCGATCAACTATAAAAAAATTTATCACTTATATTCAGATGTGCATTTCAATTAAGTCTCTGCTCTTTTACTAACCTGAATAGGGACATTGTATTTTTTGGCTAATTCTCCATGAATTGTCAAAAGTGATTTGGTACAATGTGCAACTCCTCTCGCAGTCAGAACAGGAGTCACAAGGGGATGCTACACAAAAAAATAATTATACTTCACTCAAGACAGAAAATGTAAAACAGGATATGTGTAAATCTACTTTGGAAAGTAGTGAGAGGTTATAACAAAAGATAAATTGTTATTGGTTTTGTTATAAATATCAGACAGAGAAAAAAAAAAAGTCCTCATGTCAAGGTGAAGAGCCACAGACATTTGAATTCTGTAGTCTGGTGCTCTACCAACAGGTAACAGTACCTGCTGGTGCATTAAGCAATTTCCATGTTTGTATTTGAAAAGTGTTCTACATATACTGCAGCTATGATTGGCAATTTAAAAGTAATGTCTGCAGGTAAAAATAAGGTAGGAGATTTTCCTACAATTCTACTTACATTCATGTCAATCACATGTTTGATGAACCTGTTCATAAAGACACATTTTAAAGCACATTAATATGCATGAAATGAGACAAATGTGGCATAATGGTGAGTGCATTGGACTTTGGGTCAAGACTTGCCAGGTCAATGTGTTGTGTTCTTGGGTAAGACACTTATCTCTTACAGTGCATGCCTCTCTCCACCCAGGAGTATAAATGGGTACAAGCAAATTGTCAGGGAAGCCTGTTGAAATGCTGCAGGGTAACCTTGCAGTGGATTAGCATCCTATCCAGGAGGAAGTAGTAACACTCCTAGCTGCTTCTTGCTAATTGGAAAGCAGGATAAGCACCTGTTGGGTGAACCAACAGGCTCAAGAACAGACTTGCTCTTTATTCCCCTGAAAATTTCCAATGACCTCATGGGGTGGGTGATCATCTCCTTGCACCACTAAACTGACCTTCCTTGATCTTAGAATAAATCTTACAATCATGGTTTCTCCCAACTACAGATGAAACTTTTATTATTAATTTTGGTTTCTCTAACATGAAGTGACATGAAGTATAGATACTATACCCACTGATGACATGCTAGTTTGTAATAGGCTTACATAAAGTTTCTGTCAGTTACAGTGTTTCCTGTCAGTGGAGAGAGACACTTTGAGGGTTGAGTGTCTTAAGCCCCCTACCCTCCCCCTAAAAAACAAGAGTTGGTTTGGCCATGATTCACACAATATCCTTTCTTGGTACCAGCTATTTTCTGCAAACCTTTCTTATAGAAAAACTTGTATTCAAGATATTAACCATGACCTTAAGTAATAATTCCAAGTATCACAATTTCATTAAAAATGCACAATTGTTAGAAATGAACCTTTCTGTTTCTTCTGCGCAACATTCTGTTGTTTTGCTGTGTTCGTGAGGGGAACAATCAACATCAGAGATGCCAACATATGCCCGCTGACCAAGCTCCACTGTGGAACAAAATGGTTTGATTGCCTAACTTATTAAGACCTTGGAGAGTAGATTAAAATAGAAAAAAAGTAACTCTACATTATCAATAATCCTGATAACCAGGCTGGTCAAGTACTTAAAACGCTATTTAAATGGTTACAAGATGCTGGTTTTAGGAACCATAAGTCGGAAATGTAAACGTGTTCATTCTAGAGCTGACTTATACAATCAGGAGTTTAGTACCAAAACAGAGAACATCACTACTAATTTTCAGTCGGGAGAAATTTGATAACGAGTCTGTAAGATTGTCCACATGGGTTAAATATAGTTCCTTTTCACTTAGCAGAGGATACCTAGGGCCTAAAATTTTTAATTTCTAATTAGAGTTAAAATTTGCAATTTTCTTTTGCTTCATTGTTAAAGTGAGGCAATAACTTACCAATAACATCACAAAGAACCATTGTAGCATTAAGATGTATGGTGGCAAAATAAGATGCTGTTGTTGTACCATTCATCAGCAACCTCCTCTTCAGAGAAAACATGACTGTTAGATAAACTAAATGTGATACAAACCATTACCAGTAAAATAAAGTTATCACTAAAATTATTATTGTATCTTACATTTGATCTATTGGAAGACAGATGCATAGACACAAATGTCACCATTTACAACTGCCCCTCATATAACACTTTTTTGTTATCACATTTTGATGTCGTCTTTTATCTATTATTGTCAGCATGGAATCTGTTTGTTAAATAATTAATCTCAGAAAGTAGTTCTCAGTGACATTTTAATTAGAAAACATAACAGTGCCATTTTATGAAAAACTTACCACCAATTTCTTGTAGACATCAAGTGCAAGGTTTGTATCTTCAAACCTGGCCTCAGTCGGAAAAGTGTACTTATTCAGCCAATCAACAACATGACAGTCATAACCAGTACCAGTAAAGCTGTACTGTGGTGCATGAATATGGGTGTCAATCAGTCCTGGCATGATAAACTGCCTTTGTTCATACAGACATATGAAATAATGTGTAAGAAATTGGAACTAATAATTAGTAAGTTATAAAACAATACTTATATCACACAGACAAGACTCTAATTTGTATTCAAGTGTCAATACAAGCAGTTGCAATCCCCTTCCAGAGGTTTCTGTGTAAGCATTTGATAAACCTTTCTTTAGTGACTCAACTGTACACTGAATTCTAAATTTTGGTCTCTAACCAGAAAAAAAAGAAAAAAAAAAATATATATATATATATACATATTTATTTATTTTCCAACACCCCTTGTCATTTTAGGTATCAATTTCACCAATTTCTTTTTAAAATTACTTATTTAGTTGTTAATAATTTCTATACAACAATAGATTAGAGTCTATTAGAATTTTAGTTCATAAAAGCTAGGCTAATTACCTTGGCTTTAAGAAGATTACATCCTTTGAAGTGAATCCATACTGCATTTCTAACAAGTTTTGATTTGATTCACCATTTTCTATGAACAAAATCTAGAGCCAAGCAAAATGCAGTTGAGCTAGACTTGAGGGGGGGGCTGGGGGGAATGACAACAGTAACAAAGATCATATGGGAGATAATGTTATTATACCAAAATCTGTATAATACAGGAACTCTCTTCTCTGCAAATGCTATGTAAAACACGTCCTATGAATGCAATGACTAAAACATGCTATAGGCACAAATCAAAAGAAGTTGCACTCAACGCATTCTGCACACATTTACAACTAGCTAGGGGTTGCTGGGAATAGGTTTAGAACTAATGATTCGAGCTTTACCGCTCTCACGAAGGGCTAACGCAAAGTCGGAACATCACCTTTAGCACCTCTCGACGGAGGCCAATTCATATTATGAATTCAGTAGACGAAATTGAGTATCTTGTAATACCCCGACCAGCATTAGCCACGGAGTACTTGTGCTGTAGCTCAAATTCGAAAATGACGTATTTCTTTCTAATGGAACAACAACCAAGCATATTAACCTTTCCGGATGGACTGATTCCTAAAATTTTGTCTGGTAATATTTCCAACGCATTTTCAGAGGTGGAGTGGACAAAATTTCCACGGAAAACATATGAACATTTTTTAAACTGGTATTTGTCCGCCATGTTGGATTGCAGGTAGGTCGCCTTCTCCATTTGCGAAGAAGTTTCCTGAACACCGAACCTTCTATCAAAATCTAGTCCTTTAACTTTCGTGAGCTGCTAGGATCAAACGTTGCAAAGGGATACTGGTTTACAGGGTGTACCATCCGTACAAACAACGAGGGGAAATAGTTCTGTCTCCAGCCACTTAGATACAGGTTGGTCACGCATTCTGCAAAAATGGCGGGAACGATCGTGGTCACGCAAATTGATGAGTAGCGCCATAAGTGATTTTTGTTGTTCTTGTTGTTGAAAATGAAATTGAGAGGGTGTTTTTGTTGTTATTATGGTTGTTGTTTTACATCAAATGCATTCTTGCGCGCTGCTTTGTGATGAGGGAAGGTCGCGTCACCCATGTAACGGAAGCCATCCTTAAACGAATTCAAAGAGACTCTTCTTTGCTAATTTTTGTCAAACTTTCGTTTTTGTGGCTTTGGCAGTAAACAAAATATCATTATATCAATATCACTATTAAAAAATGGTTTGCACAAATTGTGAATTAACTTTGGATGTGCAATTAATTCACGGAAATGCAACTTTCCTGGAGAATTTTTTTGGTTTTTGTTTTTAAAAAATTTAATGGACGGTTTGCGACCCTTTGTTTTAACGTTTTTATTTTTTTTTGCTTTAGTTCTTATTTTCCTTAAATATACTGAGATGCTAAGCATGTGGCAGCTGTTATTTTCTGTGAATAGAACTCCCCAAAAGTCACTCCCTAAGTTTAGTACTTACTTCATGATGTCACATAGCCATGAAAGATTCCGGCATCGTTCCAAATTTAAAAACAAGGTGGGGATATTTCCCAAAAATCGACCCTGCAGGAATCGTCTACAGTAGTTTTCATCTTGCTCAAAACAAAAAAACTGTCTAGTCTGTAATAATGTCTGACGATGAAGACCAAGGAAGAGAGTACCTGATCAAGTTTCTAGCTCTAGGTGATTCTGGTGTTGGTAAAACAAGTCTTTTATATCAGTACACGGATGGTCATTTTAACCCTCGATTTGTGCCCACGATAGGGATTGACTTTCGAGAAAAGCGAGTGGTATGTATAATTCACCTTCCTAAAGGCATAAAGATAAATTTTCGACTGATACCATTTTAGGAAAGGTTGAAATGAAGATTTGTATATTTCTTGTATTTGCTCAATGTAAAAGTGATGTACTCCTCTTGTTTTCCCACTGATACGATTGATCATTCAATTTACGACTTCGCAAAAAAAGCGCTTTCTTTAATAAGCAATAACCGTATGCAATGATTTGGAGCTTGAGAAGGTAGCGCCGGATTCTTATAGTTCGAATCAAGAGTGGGGGTTGTATCAAAATGAGGTTAGCACAAGAATCGATTAAAATAAATTACTTTTCTTTAATACATTTTTGGACTACAAAAATATTTACACGTAATCGACTTTTCGATTTAAATTCATTAATTCCTTCTCATTAGCATTTGCATTTGAAGGCTTATATTAAGTAGTATTCAAGGTTCTTTCGGATCCTTTTTTAACAAACAAATACAATACACAGTAATTCATTAGTCGAAGATGACCAAATGTCAACATCTGGCAGGTACCTGTCTAGCGATCCTGACTTTAGTCGGGACCTCTCTATCAAGAGCTGATGGGCGGATGTTTCCTTATTTGAGTGCGCATTACTTATTGTGTAGTTGAAAGAACAAAGAGAGCCATACGTTTCCGCCATAGCCCTTCAATGATAGAGTATCAAGTTTCGGTTGCTTTAGGTGCAAGATTTATGCGCCAATCCCGGAACTCTTTATTCGAATGTGTCCTTTAAAGTTATCTCAACATTGCTTCAGTACAAGAAAGGTTAAGGCACTTCATCTTCTCTTGACTTGCGTAAATACAATTCATACAGGTGTGTATAATAAAGAGTCAAAAAATTTTGTACAGCCGGGAGAGAGTCCTAATCGAGCCCTGAGGAGTGTTATTTAAAAGGTTAGAATTGGCTCGTGAGTGGGTTTCCGAAACTAAATCTCCAGCTGGTTTGTGCATGAATAGAATGAGAAAATTGATGAAATTTCTAGTTCGGTCGTCGATTAGATCGCATACAGTTGGACAACGAGATCTCCATAGCTTAGTGGCACCCGGGTCGAACATCCAAGCTGTAATCTGAGGTTAGATTCCTCGTGGGTACCCAGATCTTTCTGTGTTCCAAGTTCCTGGCAAAATAAGTGGAACAATACCAGTTGATAAAGAGGACAACCCCTGTATCAAATTTTTCCAGTTATCCTAGGGGTCACGGAGGGGATTTACCTTCGGTTAATGTTTTTTGGCGTGCAACAAGACACGCATCAATCCTAGTGACACAGGCCGTAGCTTAGAGCTCACTGAATACATGCAATTTATACCAACCCCATGCTGAACACTAGACAATCCTGGGACTCTGCCACCGTTGTCACTCTTTAAAGTTTAGTTTCATCTTACTATCGTGAACCGCAAAGCCTACAATAACTGGCAAAATTAGTTGGTCGACAACCCTTCGCTTAACAGAGTCGACATAACTCAGGCCCTGAACAGAAATCTTGTAATTTATCTCTATAAGTTAATTGAAAGCGTTCCTTCCCCCTCTAAAAAGAACTGTTGCCTGAACTTGGTGGGTATTTTTTCAATACCAGGCAACTTTAAAATGGCTAAGAGAGGGAGGGGAGGGGGGGGGGGAAGATAAATGAAAGTTCGAGGAAAAAAACTGAAAAGGTAGTGAAGCGTGTCAAGACTTTCGTCCCTCATTGTAAGTCAACAATCGTTTAACATTTAAACTATTAAAATCGCAAGTACAAGTACATCAGAGATATTCCATTCCGTGAATGCTTCATCAATATCTTTTACACTTACCCTACCTTTCTACAAGCGGTATCTTTTGAACCTGAGAAGTATTTTCCCATGCAATACCACTGCAACATAAATGACATAACAGCGAAAGTGTCATTCTACAGAAAAAAAATTTAAAACTCTCCTGTGAACAGCGGCGATAAGAAACTGCAGTTGTCTTTAATTTCGCATGCTAGGATTTCACCAACTTTATTTTTATATAGCTTTTTCAAGTTGTACATTTATTTATTTTTGCCAGTTACGAATAATGAGATCGAGCAAACCTTCGTTTGATATCAATCTTTGGGCAGCTCTTGAACCAGATTTATCCAACTATTCGTTAAATAAGTCGGTGGGAGAGTATAACGGGGTACTTAAGTATTATCAACTGAGTTGATAACTAACCTGGTTGATATCGTAAATCGGCCACCGTAAAGAGTTTCAAAGTGAATGAAGATGGGCTAACGCTCGAAACGTCAGCTTTCAAACTCTATACGGTGGCCAATTCACGTTATCAACTCCGCTGAGAATGCTGAATGAGCCTGTTTTTCGTTGAAAAGTTTAAATTAAGTTCGGTGGTGTCGGTTCTTAATCATTCTTCTTCAGTTTAAGCGAATTTTCCATGGACAAAATCATAACTAATGTTGGTCCAGTATCGGCTTGGATGGAATACATTGTTAGACCTGTATCAGCGATAACTTAATCGTTATTTATGCATGTATCGAACGATCGACTAGTTTCTGGACGAATTTTGTGGCTTTTCACAAAATACGGTTCTTGATTTCAAAAATTAATTCTACACCACATATAGCGTCGGCAGGTAACCGGCAAATCTCTCCTATATTGGTCAGTTAATTAACTGGCTGTATTTATCTGAGAGATAGACCAAAAGTCCCTCACCCTACTCCACCCTAATATATAACTGCACGTACCTTGTTGCCGCCAAATTTCCACATCAACAACAAACCACGAGTAACCAATCAGAGAGTGCAAGAGTTATCAACAGACCAATCAGATAAGCCGTTAGATAAATATCAGTTTTGTACGCAAAGTTTGAAGGAAAACTCCCGAACTAAACATGGCGGATACCGATTATGATTATCTGTTAAAGTTTTTGGCTCTCGGTGATTCAGGCGTCGGGAAAACTAGCCTTTTATTTCAATACACGGATGGATCATTTAATCCTAAGTTTATATCCACTGTAGGGATAGACTTTCGCGAAAAGAGAGTGGTGAGTTACATAGTTTCAACGATTGATATTTAACTCGTGAACATTCATTGACATCCATCTAATAATATTATTCCTCTGCGTCGAGAATTTTTATTTTACATTAATATTTCAGGCTCAAGGGTGTATACTTTTTGCTTTTAGAAAATAATCACTAGTTTTTGGTGAAATTGTGATTTAACTCATATTAAGTCCGCTGTTTTGGATAATACACAACGTGCCTTGGTCTTCTACCTCTGAGAAAACAACGAAACAATCTTTAAGTCGATGCTTAAATTCGAATCCAACCTTACACAACAACTTAAATAGCCTCTAATGATTGTCTTGTAGAAACTATGGAAAGTGAAAGTGCTTTTTTTACGTCGATTTCTATGAGAAGTATGCATTTAAATTTCAACTGACTCGACGAGACTTAAGCGATCACTTGTAATCTCGATGTTCCATATCCATTTAACACTCTCTCCATATTTTATAAAGCTAACGCTCTGATCTAAGCTCGTATTTTCGATAACCTAGAAAATGTTAGAGTTCGAATTGAACCCAAAGCAGAGCAGTTCACAAGTTCATTGTGGGAGCAAGGACAAGTTTGATTGTCCCGAGAACATTTTTTGTGTACGATCGTTGTATTTTAAGATTCTCTATTTAATTCACTTATAACCTTCGTTGTGAATCTCCCCTCTGAAAAGATAGAAACATGCAAAATTCCTAGTTTTTGCAATAATGTGGTTCCAAGGCATCAGTCTTTAGCCGTTAAAATGAAAAAACTGTCGGCGAGATCTCATCGTTTTTACATTTTTAATTGTGAAGCTCTTCTGTTTTGAATTTTAATAGCTTCATTGTCTGATTCATTTCAATTTCTAATCATTTCATTTAAATCTATACCTAGATCACACGAATAACTATCTAAATCACCACAAAATCTTTACTGATTCTATTTTATAAATTCTATAATTTTTTGTGGTTTCTCACTGAAGCAGTCTTCGGAACTGAAATTTTACTTCTAAGAAATTCTAAGAGTGTATAGATCTCTCTACAATGTCACCTGGCTTCAGAGGGACTAAAACTGTGAATGGTGTGGCTGATCTTAATGTGTGTGTTTCTAAAATAACAAATGAAGTTACGGCTTCCTTAATTTATCCTCTGAGTAATTGATCAATGCTACATCAACTTTAGCCAAAGAATCGTAATGTGAAGTTTTGTGATGTCTTATACAGTTACTTTTAAGTTCATAACACCAGCTGCTCACCTTTTTAGATAATAATGCAAATGTATGATTTATAAATTTGAATATTACACAAATTTTGTTTGTCAGTATATCAAGGGAGGTAAATTGATTTCATTGTTGTATAATGCAGATTTGTCCAAGTTTTGAGACTCATTTTTCTTCCCTGAAGGACCTAATTTTTTTTCTACATTTGTAGGTCTTGTGGACATATTTTCCAAAGAATATGGCTAATGTATTTGTGAAACAATCTATTCCAAACCTAGTTCAGACTTGTTCTTGATAGGATTTTTTTGTTTGTACCTGTTCCTTAGCAAACAACAAGGCATTTATCACCTTGAGATGGAAGGTCTACACATTGAACAGCTGTCAGTTGCATTTAATTCGAGAAACAATTGCTCAAGAAGTTGGAAAAATTGCCTGAAGTAGCCAGTAACCAAGCTTTTAGGAAAACCACTTTTTCAACAAAATTTTCGGGAATACTTTTGCAAGTGATTTTTTGGTTTGTTTAGAAAAAGTGGTCTGAATAGCTGAAGCCCAATCATGTCATAAAAAGTCATTGACAAAAATTGTTGCCATGTATTTACAATTTTTTTTGACAATTTAACCAAGTGTTGTGTTGACTGAGATCAAAGAAAATTATCATAATTTTTCAGTCATAGAACACAGGAAAAACTATTAAACCTGACAAAATGTTTGTCACATTTAGATGTTACTAACAGTTACGTATCTCCTATTTGAGGTCATTTGAGAATACATTTAGATTTCTTTCAGATACATCATCCTTTGGGCGCAGATGGAGTCACCCGTTCAACAAGAGGTCAGAGGGTGCATCTTCAACTTTGGGATACTGCTGGACAGGAAAGGTACAGTGTATTTTCAAGTTGAACCAAGTTAACACAAGAGAAACACCAGAGCATTGTTCAGTGATAATCCTTTCTATCTTAAGTTCATTTTGGGTGAATCACACATTCCTTTGTCAGGGATTATATCTAGCTTTGTATATTGTGTTGCAACACTGGCTTACACAGTAATCTAATATATTCCTGTCCCCTTTCTTTTCCAGATTTAGGAGTTTAACTACAGCTTTCTTTCGAGATGCCATGGGATTTCTTCTAGTCTTTGACCTGACACATGAACAGTCATTCTTGAATATTAGGAACTGGTTAAGCCAATTACAAACCCATGCTTACTGTGAAAACCCTGATATAGGTATGTGTTTATAGTTTCAATTGAATTGCAAAAAATCTTGCTTCTGTGTTTTAGTGGACTGAATTAAAAAAAGGCCTATGGTGTGTCCTTAGAAAACAAGATGTGAAATTCCTTCTGTTTAGTCCAATTTAAGTTCATATCTCAGTAGTGTGTTACTGTCATGTCAATCATTTGGGTTAGCCTGGTTGTCATAGAATCAGAAAGCTGGGTAAATACTGCTAAGTTACACTTAACTGCTTATCTCTATTGCATTATACAGTCAGAGAGTTTATTATGCATATATTTTACTTCAATCAAGATCATCAATTGGAGGGCTCAGAGCAAGAACGATCCCTTGATTTTTCAGCCATTTTTGAAAGTGTTCAGAAGTAGTTGAATTTTGGCATGTGGACACTTTCAAAAATGGCCGAAAAATCAAGGGATCGTTCTTGCTCTGAGCCCTCCAATTGCTTGAACCTCCTGCTCTAATTCTTTTAGAGAGGTCATGTGGACTAGACCAGTAGTCTATAATCCAACCCAGTTCAACAAAACCAAGCCTGTCATTGTGTTAATGGCCAATTCCAGAGCAGCAGCATATGTTTTGTAAGTTAAGTGACTGTGTACTTTACTGTTTTGTTTTTCTTTCCTGTAGTTTTAATTGGTAATAAAGCAGACTTGGAGGATCAAAAACAAGTTGATGAAAATGAAGCCAGGACACTGGCAGAGAATCTGGGTCTGAAATACTTTGAGACTAGTGCATTTAATGGACAAAATGTGAGCAAATCAGTAGAGGCCTTGCTTGACCAGGTAAGAAAGTACATCTTAAGGAGGCTTTGTAGGATTTTTTGATTGCATGAGATCTGGGTGCAAACATAGCATGAGCTTTAAAAGTGTTAACATATAAAATAATCTGAAAAGGTGTGTTAAAAACAGTTTAACACAATACAGTTTTTATGTGATGGAATCTAGGGTTCCAACAACCACACCCGCAACATTTATAGGCCTTCTATGCCTGAAAAAGAGGTCAAACAAAAAGAAAACATGGTGGGAAAGATTGCCAAAAGGTGACAGATTTGAAAGTCCTAGGCATACACAGATACCAATATAGGTGAAGTCTGTCGAGTCATACATCACCATTACGGATTGTTATGTCACATTAACTGTTCGTTTTTAACACAATTTTTTTTTTTTCCTTAACCTGTCAGTAACCTGTTGGTTAGCTGTCGGTAGACTGTCGGTAACCTGTCGGTCAACTGTCGGCCGACAGTTGACCGACAGTCGGCCAACAGGTTTTTTGGGGAGCTCTTCTTCACAATTACCCATTTTGTAATGTTTTGTGACAAATGAAATAGGGGCCTTTCGAGTAAGATTTATCACATTCCCTAAGATTTGCTGGACCACCTCCCTTCGTGGAACCTTAGCTTAATAACGAAAATCATTTTGATAACATTTACTACAGCAAATGATAGTCCAAACCTTGCTCATTGCCTTTGATGGCTTTTAGTGACCTTGAAAAGCTAAAACATAAAAATTTGCTAGAAAAACAATATGGTAGTGCGTGTGCCAACATTTAGCAAAAACCATATGGAGCCTCCTTTAGGACACTCAGTCCCACAGAATAAGCCAAAATAAGTATCACTTGTTACTCTTGATATGCAATGGTAACCAGTCTTTACTTGAACTTTAGTGTATTGCAGCAACTTTTCTTTTATTTTAACTTTCCAGGTTATGGCAAGAATGGAAAATTGTGTGGACAAAGCCACATTACCTAATGGTGTTTTCAACAACAATCCTAACAGAGGTACAAAACTAAGAGAAGTTGATGAAGCAAATGATGAACCGCAAGCAGGTTGTTCATGCTGAACAAGGCAGATAACAATCATTATAATTATAACTTCTCAAATGTCTTTTTAGAGTGCATATGAAAATATTTTCTTTTGAAATGGTTATGTACTATCATAAAGGGAATCTCTAATCTTAAAGCAAATATCACAAAAAAGTCTTTAAATGTATCAAACACAAGATATTTGGTACTTAAAATTATTCCTCTAACGTTGTTTATTTTTTTTGGCCTTCAAAACTGGCCTTCATAGCAACTCCAAACT